CTTGAAATATATTACACCTGAAAAATAATAGCCCTAAAGATTCAGTCTGGGCATCAAGACTCCTGTCTGGATTTCTCTAGACACTATAGTCTCGTGTTACACTGGTATCTAATGCCAATTCTTTTTTTTTTCTTTTTTCTTTTTGGGTCACACCGGGTGATGCTCAAGGGTCACTCCTGGCTCTGCCCTCAGTAATCACTCTTGGCGGTGCTCCGGGGATCATATGGGATGCTGGGAATTGAACCCGAGTTGGCCGCGTGCAAGGCAAATGCCCTACCAGCTGTGCTATCACTCCAGCCCCTCTAATGCCAATTCTTTTTTTTTTTTTGACACCGGGCGATGCACAGGGGTTCCTCCTGGCTCTGCACTCAGGAATTACTCCTGGCAGTGCTCAGGGGACCATATGGGATGCTGGGAATCGAACCCAGGTCGACCGCGTGCAAGGCAAATGCCCTACCTGCTGTGCTATCACTCCAGCCCTCTAATGCCAATTCTTATACTGTTTTTTTTCCCCCAAAAGATGCACCAGATTTAGCAGGCCAATGATACTACATTTCACTCCCTATTTGGAATGGGTTTAAAATGCATAGATTTAGGGCCGGAGTGATAGTACAGTGGGTTGGGTGCTCGCCTTGCACATGGCTAACTATATGTATATAAAACCATATATATATACATATAATTTTGGTGTTTTATTGGTAACACCAATTGCAGAACATAACTTTAGCTGGGCAGCCCATTTAATCTTGATAATATGCCACGAAGTTAGCATCATAGCTGATGAAACAGCAGTTCTTTCCATTTTGTTGAGTGAAGACAGAATGACAGAGAAGGTAGATCTGTGACCCAGGAAGTGTTATACCAAGCATGTTTAAGTTTCTTTGCTAAAACTTATCAACCCAAAGAGTTGAAAGTATTCCTTGCATTTGCTTCTTCCTAGAGAACAAATTAAACACCCTACTTTCTATAGGAGTGTAAATGAAGGTGTTATCCGCAAACCTAACTTAATTAGTATCACTGGGACTGAGGATTGCCTTTCCAAAGCTGTGTCACACAGCAGTAAGAGACCACTGACTGGGCGGAGGAGACAGGCAGTCTCAGTCACAGTCACAGGCGGAGGAGACACTGTGTTAGAGCCACACCAGGCAGTGCTAAGGATTTCCCCACCAAAGCTTTGTTTTAAACCCTAAACCTTCAACATGGTAAAATTCAAGGACCATGTGCTAAACATGAAAAGATGTTTCAGGGGCCGGAGGAATAGGATAGCCACGTAAGGTGCTTCCCTTGTACACCACCTTGAGTTCAATCCTTGGTACCCCGTATAGTCCTGAGCAATGCCAGGAGTGATTTCTAAATGTAACCTCTTCAGGGGTGGCCAAAAAAACAGAAAAGATGTTTCAAATCTTAGCAACGTTATATTAAAAAGATCTTCCATTTTAAAATCGCAATTAAATTTTTCTATAGAACTTAAAGCAAAGTAGAAGAAACAGTTGATACAATCAAAAATCTTCACCTTTTGGCCAGAGATAGTACTGTGGGTAGAGTGCTTGCCTTGCATGTGGCCAACCCGGGTTCAATCCCTGGCATCCCATATGGTCCCCTGCGCACTACCAGGAGTGCTTCCTCAGGGCAAAGCCAAGAGTTATGCCTGAGCATAACTGGGGGTGGCCCCCAAACCAAAAAAATTTTCACCTTAGAGTCATTTGAGAAATACGGTTCTTAGCACGCTGAACTTCTCATTGAAACTTCTTTGTGAATTGAAATATAATATGCAGGGTACACTACTTGCTTAATCACCAAATATCAGACCATACACATCAAAGGAGAGAATTCTACACAAAGGAGAAAATCCTAGTTACTATCTCATACAATTTGGACATGAAAGATGTGGCAAAAAAAACAGATTCTGATCTTAAAAAATATAACATTTGCAGGAAAGACCTCTATCCAAATAGATTGGTTGTTAAAATAATGTATGCTGGAGACCATAAATGGTAGTTTCCTGTTTGGATTTTTTTTTTCTCTTTGATGCACAGGGTTACTCCTGGCTCTGCACTCAGGAATTACTTCTGGAGGCACTCTGAAGACCACAGGAGATGCTGGGGATTGAACTCAGGTTGGCCACGTGCAAAGCAAATACCCTACCCACTGTACTATCGCTGCAGCCCCCAACCCTGTTTTTTAAGTGGTATATTTGATCCTTTGCACCACTAGGAGAAAATTGCATTCAGTAGATAACTATCTCCTAACATCTTGTTATGAGCTTGGAAGAATGCACATTAGTATAATTAAAGGAGAAATCAATATAAATATTGGAAAACAAGAGTCATTAAATCTAACAGGACACCAATATGAGTTTTGTTTTTATCTCATAGATATTACTCTAAGGACAGTTACTAGAATCTTTGTGAGATAAAACCTATTTCAAGTCAGTTCCTAAAGGGAAAGAGTAAAGAAAATATGTGTTCATATGTATTCTAAAATCAGCTGCTCCTGGAGTGAAGATTTACTTATCTACTTGTTTAGTCTAGAGAGTAATTTTAACTCCACTTAAGAATCTACTAGAGGGGTCAGAGAGAGTTCAGCCCATGTGGGCCAGGTTTGATCCCCAGATTCTATATGATCCTTTGAACACTGCTCAGGGGACAATCTGGCTGTATCCCAGCAACATACTGATGTAGCCCCAGAGCACATCTGGGTGTGGCCACCCCCACAAAAAACATATATATATATATATATAAAATTCCAGAACATTTAGCAATCACGGACTGAGCATATAATCTACAGATAAGCATAGCCCACAATCAATTTCAATATCAAACAAAATTAAGTAGTCCAAGCCCTATATTGTAAATCGTTTTCACAAAAAAAAAAAATCAAAACCCTGATGTCATCTTGCTCAGTGTGATATCTATTTAGGTCAGCATTTTGCTTCATAAAAATAGACCTTTTCAACTACCATCAAACTTTGTTTCTAAAATTTTAACTACAAAGACAGCATCTTCCATTTAAATTTAAAACACTTTTTGGGGCCAGAAGGATAGTATGGTGGCAGGGAGGACGCTTGCTTTGCATGCGGATAACAAGGGTTCATTTACCAGGATCCCATATGGTCCCCTGAGCCCTGCCAGGAGTGATCCCTGAGCACAGCTTGGTGTAGGCCAAAAACAAAAAACAAAAATCAAAACGCTAAAAATATGATTAAAAGAAATTAAGGGAGGCCAGAGAGATGGTACAGTGGATAAGGCATCTGCTTTGCACATGGCCAACCTGGGTTTGATCCCATATGGTCCCCCACATGGGCCATATCCCATATGATTCAGTAAGCACTGCCAGGAAGATCCCTGAGCACAGAGCCAGGTGTGGCCCCCAAACAAAAAGCCATTAATCAATGGAACAGTACCAAATTCTCTCCTACATTTAGCTCCTTGATGTGCAACAAGAATCTGAAAGCATTCAAAGCATTGAAAAGATTTCTGCATTGTACAGAGTAAAATAACGATTTTCAGGAGTTGCTTTTGGATATTTAATAATCTAGAAAGCCCTTACAACCATCTATTTCAATGCAAAATTAAAAGTTACCTATTCCAAAACCCTCCCCTGTAACCAGAAATAGCATGGTTCTTGGGGATTTTGCCCTGGTTTTTTTTTTTTTTTTTTGCGACCTCACATCACATTCTACCTTGTGTCACTGTACACTTAAAGGACGGGGCTGTATTTCCAACCTCTTCGCTTGTGGCTGTCTCCCTCTTAGCTCACACTCCGAGGATTTGTGAGCTTTGCTGGTTTCTAGTCACACGACAAGCCCCTTGTTCATAAGATCCATTTCCCACCCCCCTTCACACCTCCTTGGCGACCTCGGTTCTATATACTGCACTGAAATCCTTGGAGGCTTGCTTTTTTGTTTTTTTTTTGGGGGGGGGGGGGTTGGGGGAGGCTAGGGCCACACCTGGCGGTGCTCAGGGGGCTACTCCACACTCTGCACTCAGGCGGTGCTAGGGGAAAGGGGCAGACCGCATGAGACGCCGGGGATCGAACCCGGGTCCGCCGTCCGCCAGGCAGGCGCTCGACCCACTGTGCTCTCTCTCGGTCCCCTTCACTGTGTCAAGCCCGCGCTGTCGTACCGCCTTTCCCACCGCGCTCTTCCTGGCGACGAATGCAGCCACCGACCAAAAACCCTCTGCCTCGGCCCCACCTGCTACGTCCTGGGCAGATGGATGAGCCGCTGCACGCTGGTGGGGACTCCTGAGGACTCCCAGCGACCCGGCGGCGAGAACCGGCTCCGCAAAGGAGGCCAGAATCAGCCGCTTCCCCCTCGGCCCGAAACTTCTCACTCGGGGACGCTCCCACGCGCTCACACCCACCTCGGAGCAGTCAAGCTGTCAGATTCCTTCCTGCGTACCTAGCGGCGACCGAGGCGCGGCTCCCTCGCCAGCGCGCCGGGTCACGGCCACGGGGTGCAGAGGTCGGGGGGGGCGTCGCCGTCCCCGACGCGCCGCCTCGCGCCCCCCCCGTTCGCCCGCGCCCGGCCTCCCGACGTCCCGCGCCGCTCCGGTCGCTGCCGTTCTGCGCATCCCGGCCCGCGAGTCCCGTGACGTGCCCCGCGGCCGGGTGAGCCCAAGAACCCGGGGCGCGGGAAGGCGCGGCGCGGGCCGGGGCTCGGCGGGCGCGGGGGGCTGCCGCGGCCCCGACCCCAGGAGGCGCCCCGGCCCGGCGCCGCGAGGGGCCCAGCCCGGCGGGAGCGCGGCGGGCGCCCGACCTGCCCCCCCCCTCGGCGGCCTGACGGGCGGCGCCATCCGGGGTCAGGAGGTCGTGGAGCCCCGAAGCTCCGTCCCGGGCCGCGGGGCGCCCCCCGCGAGGCTCCCCACGCCGCCGGGACCCCCCTCGGCGGATCTGACGTGCCGGCGGGACCACCCGCGAGGCGAAGGGAAGGCAGGTCGGGCGCCCCGGCCGGGAGGAGGGAGGGGCAGAAGGGCCGCCCGCGCGCACCGTCCCCTCACCTTCATGGCCGCGACCGCCGCGTCCGCGCCGGCTCTGCCCGACGACTCTGCACCATACCAGCTCCTCACACCACCGCCCTCCTCCGAGGCGGCGAGCGCGGCTCCTCCCGGAGCGCTCCGGCGTCCCGACGTCAGGGGCGTGGCCACGCCCACCGCGAGCGGCGGCCGGGACGGCCAATCCGGAGCCGGCGCTCGGGGGGCCGGTCACCAGAGCCAATGGGGTGGCGGCAGCGGGGCGGAGCCGGGCCGCGCCGGGTGCGGAAGACTCCACTCGGCCCGAAGCCCTGGGCCGGCTTGGGCGTGGCGGCCGGCGCCGGGCCCGGCGCGCTCCCTGCGCGGCGGCTGAGCTAGGAGTCGGCGTCCCCAAGGCGACCTGCGCGGCGGGGATTTGGCTTTGGCTGGGTCGTCAAATTCCCGGGGCCGTGGGGGCGGGAGGGGGCGTGGCAAGCTTGGAAAAGCCGGCCGGGCGCGAGGCTTTTGTTGTACCTGTCAGAGCTGGGCCTCAGGGCCGCACCGACGTTCGAACCTCGCGTCGACCTCCGGATCGGAGGCTCCTCTGAGTCGTGACAGCTGCGCCCGCCACGGCCGACTTCAAAACAATAGGCTTTATCGAAAACACTTGGAGAGCTAAGGACTCGGACGAGCTGCTCCTTGAGAGCCCCGTGCAGAGCCGCCGACAACGAGCGAGTTCGGCGGAGCGGGTGGACGGAGGAGAAACTGAGGCGGCGAATGACAGCATCGGTCTCTTCTGCCTGCCTGGCTGACAGCGGCTGCTTTGCCTAGGCTTGTTCTCGCGTCCCACCCAAACAGTATTTAATTAAGGAACGAAGGTGTCGATTTAGTTCTCAGGAGGACCTAAAATCGTTGGCTTCTGTTAACATCGTTTTTGTTATCTAGCCTGTATTAGGTAAAAGCTCGAAGCCACACCACTCCCGTTGGCTGAAATAATACCAATTATTTAGCTTACATTTGACATTTTTTGGGGGGGTTGTTCGTTTGTTTTTGTGGTGCTGCACCCGAATGTACTCGGGAATCACTCCTGGTGGGCTTGAGAGACCATATGGGGTACCAGGAATAGAACCCTGGTGGGCTGCGTGCAAGTCAAGCGCCCTACCCGCTGTACTGTCTATCTAGCCCCCCCCCCCCATTTCCTTGTTTTTCTTGCTCAAATCATGTAATTTGATTTCTTACCCTACATAATCTTGAAATATCTTCCTTGGAAAAACGCCCCATGTCGAAGCAGCATCCGCCCTTTCCTGAAAAAAAAAAATACAGATTTTTCTGAGGCACAAAGAAACTCAAAAGACTTGCTTGGGGATTCAAAGTTGTATTTCCCCTTTATTCGGAATGAAGCAGTAGGTCGACCTCAAGAGTTAGTGAAAAATACTCGAAGATGCTCCACAGCACAAGCCATCAAGGGAATGGAAATCAAAAGTGCTGTGAGATGCAGCTTCACATCCACTAGGAGGACTTTGTTTTATTTTGTCTGGGGGCCACTCTCAGCGGTACGCAGGAGTTTCTCCTGGTTCTACACTCGGGAATCACTCCTGGCGGTGCTGGGAGGATCATATCAGAAACCAAGGATCCAACCCAAACGGGTCTCAAGCGCCCTACTGCTGTACTATTGACTCGACCCCAACCACTTGGATGACTTAAAAAAGTAAGAGTTATTGAAGACGTGAAGAAATTGGGAATAATAATAATAACAACAATAACTTTTATAGAACAGATTCAGCAAATGTTAAAATATTAAGTTTCCATATGACCTAGCAGTTTCACTCCTGGGATGTAAACCCGGCAGAAATAAAAACATATGTTCACCGAAAACACAAAAACATACATGAATGATCATGGCGGCATGATCATAATAACAAAAGCAGAAACAACCCAAAGCCCATTATTTGGTGAATGAATAAATAAAATGAAATATATACATCCAATAGAATATTATTCAGACAAAATAGCAATGAAAATAACCTGACACAGGCTATGACAGGGGTGAACCTTGAAAACATAATGCTAAACGAAATAACTTAATTACAAAAGACAAACTACGGGCCCAAGAAAAAGTACAAGGGCTAAGGTGCCTCCCTTGCTTTCCTCTAACCTGGACTTGATTCTTGCTAGGGCATGGTACCCCATATCAGAAGCCAACATCCTCTCATCAAGTAAGACCACTAGATTTCATTTCTTTCTTTCTTTCTTTCTTTCTTTCTTTTTCTTTTCTTTTCTTTTTTTTGCTTTTTGAGTCATACCCAGCGATGCTCAGGGGTTATTCCTGGCTCTGCACTCAGGAATATTCCTGGTGGTGCTTGGGGGACCACATGGGATTCCAGGGTTTGAAACCAGGTCTGCCGTGTGCCAGGCAACCGCCCTACCCATTGTGCTATCGCTCCGGCCCTGGATTTAATTTCTAGCAAATGTTCACTGCAGGCAAATTCATGGAGACACAAAGTCCAACAGTTGTCTAGGGTTTAAGGGTAAGAAGGCTATAAAGTGCTTATGAGCATACGATTTCTTTTGAGGAGAATGAAAGTTGATATTGATTGTTGTGATGGTAACAACTACATAAATAAGTTTTATAATAAAAGAAATTGAGAAACAACACACATAGAGTGCCAATGAAGAATGTCTAAAGAAGGACAAATTAGGGGCCAGAGCAATAGTACAGCAGTTAGGGCGTTTACAATGCGTGTGGCCAACCTGGGTTCAATTCCTGGCATCTCATATGGTCCCCCGAGCATCACAAGGAATGATTTCTAAGTGCAGAGGCAGGAGTAACCCCTGAGTGTCCCCTGGTGTGACCCTAAAAGTCAAAGAAAAAAAATTTTTTTAAAAAGGGCAATTTAAACAAGAGTAAAGAAAGATTTAGATTTTGGAGACCATTTTAAAACTAAGCCTTTGAAGATTTGTCTTGTTCAGTGTTGCATGTAAAGGAAGGACCTTGGACCTGGAGGGTTAGGGACCTTAGAGGGGGGAAGGTGCTTACCCTGCACACAGCCAGCTTGGGTTCGATTTCTTGCATCCCATAAGGTTCCTTGAGCACTCCCAGGAGTGATTCCTGGGTACAGAGCCAGGTGTAACCCTTGAGCACCGCCGAGTATGCCCCCTGTCCCCTCCAAAGCAAGCTTTTTATAAATCTTTGGGTGAATTCTTTCTTCTGGAACACTGGAAAGGACTATGTAATTTAAAAAAAATACCAAGGAAATAAATAGGGTGCACATGTGTTCACAATCAAAATACTTGAAATTGGAACCTTTTGAACCCTGAGAGAAATCTTGGACTAAAAACTTATACGTTTTCAAATAAATATTTAGATTATTTAATTTTTTTGTTTCAAACTTTATACAAGAATATATTTCAATTGTGTTGTAATTATACCAGTTGTGCTCAGAAAAATATATTTGCTAACATAATCACATAATTATATCTATCTAAATCTTCATATTTTAGTAATCAGAAGACAAAATAATTTATTGCAGCTCAATTACTTGTAATAGGGCTGTTCCCTGAATTTCTGTTTTTAATTTCTCAAAAATTATTTATTTCAGAGTATGCTAAGCCAAAGAATTTCAAAATATCTCTGAAATTTAAGAAGCAAAAAAAATTATCCAAAAAAAATTTTAATGACTGAATAATAATTTCAAAATCAACTGTACTTAAAACAGAGTGGAAAGTTATTTTTAGTCTAGCAACAGAAAGAAAGATAAGTCACAGAAAACCAGATGAACATTTTGCAAAGTTGTTTAGCAACTTCTCATACTAAATTATTTATTTTGGAAAATTTTAAACATATATGAAGTAAATCGCTTCCATGTACTCATCACCCAGTTTTAGCAGTTTTCTACATTCTGCCACTCTTGTCTCATTTCCAGCACTTGCAACTCTCCACCCACTCCCACCCACCCCCCCATCTGAGTTAAATTGCATCATCAGATTAGTACATGACTCCTGTTGCCTAGATATGATCCACATGAAAGTATCTGAGAACTAGGTCTTGTTTGCTGTGTTGGTTTCCTCTGTAGTCACCTTCACAATGGCAGCAATTTTACCCCATTAAGCTCATTCTTCTTCCTTGTGGCCATTGCTTAAATTTCATGACTCTAATTTCAAGACAAGACCAAAGAGATTTTCTAACTATTCTCATGTTTACAAATGTCAACACTGTAGATATCTCTGGGCCGGAGTGATAGCACAGTGGGTAGAGCGTTTGCCTTGCACGCGGCCAACTTGAGTTCGATCCCCGGCATCCCATATGGTCCCCCAAGCACTGCCAGGAGTAATTCCTGAGTGCAGAGCCAGGAGTAACCCCTGAGCATTGCTGGGTGTGACCCAAAAAGGAAAAAAAGCTGTAGATATCTCATAAAACCAACTGACCAATGGAATGAAAATTCATTTCTTTGCTTTGGGCCACAACCAGTGAGCTCCTGGCTCTACACTCAAGGATCATTCCTGCTAGTTCTTGGGGGATTATATGGGATGCCAGGGATCCAACCAAGGTTTGCCGTGTATAAGGCAAGTACCCTACCCATTATACTATCTCTCTGATAAAAAAGCATCTCTCGATTGGGATGTCTAAACCACATATTACCCAAATCCCCATGTTGTGACCGGCTACAGTAAAACAAAACTAGTTTCAACAATACTTACTATTCTTTAGTGAACCATCACTGCAGTTGGAGAATAGATGGTCCCACAGATCATATTATTTTAGATTCATGAAATCATTTTGGAATTCTGTTCGTGAGTTACTTTGCTGACTTGAACACAAAACCCTCTTCTATATTATTTCTCCATCTTTAAAATGAAGATAATATGAACTAGCAACTTATATCTCTTTTTCTTGACCGAATGGTTAATAAAGCCTAATATAGAAAATTGAATGTAAGTTTGTTTCCAGGGCAAAACAAATAATCGGGGCCATTTTATATTTCTCTTAAGTGAGAGCACTTTACAATCTCCTCACCCTCCTCTCCCTCATGATCTTCCTTAGTAGACAGAAAGAGAACAGGGTTTTCTTTTCATGGCTTGAGAAACTGAGCCACAGAAGTAAATTTGCTTGCCTGAGGCTTATGAGGCAATGATGAAGTTAGACTCCCTGCCAAGTCTTCTATCCTC